ACCACAAAAAGCCCACCAATGACACCCTTGTACCAAATCTGAAGGTCACCTGGGACAGTTCTGCTGTGATGCTGACCAAGCCTCTTCTTCCCCTCCTCTCTGCACCCACCGGGGGCTCTATTCACTTTGTGGGCTCCCTTCTACTTTCTGTCCTGTAGATATTGCTAGACTTCAGGGCTCCAGCCTCACCTCTGCCTTGCTCACCTCACACACTCTCCAGGACATCATTCATCCTCACAGCATGTCCTGCCTCTACTCCAAGGTTAGAGCTTGCGCTCTGCTGACCTGTAGGCTCTGCCCTGCTGGAAACCTCCATCTGCAAATGCATGGGCACCTGCCCTGACTCCACCCACATGGAGCTGATCACCTTCCTGCCTCCCCTATTCAGCTCTCTGGCCCCCACCTGCGTGCCAATTACCTAAGCAAGGCACTGCCCAGCTCCCCTTGCATCCTGTGCAGACAAATCTTCAAGTTTCTTCTCTTGAAACATTTCTCCAAGCCATCCACTCCTCCAACCCCACAGTTTCTGCCTCCCTAATTTCTGATTTTTTTTTTTTTTTTTTTTTTTTTTGGTATCAGGGATTGAACCTGGGGTCACTTAACCACTGAGCCATATTCCCAGCCCTTTTTATTTTGAGACAGGGTCTTGCTAAGTTGCTAGACTGGCATTGAACTTGCCATCCCCCTGCCTCAGCTTCCAGGTGTACACCACCACATCCAGTTCTTCCCACCCCACCCCTCCTCTTTTTTTGGGGGTGGGGAGGGCGCTGGGGATTGAACCGAGGGCCTTGTGCATGTGAGGCAAACACTCTACCAATTGAGCTATATCCCCAGCCCCTCTCATCCTCTTTTTAAAAATATTTTTTAGTTGTAGATGGACACGATACCTTTATTTTATTTTTTTCTTTTAACTGTTGATGGACCTTTATTTATTTATATGCAGTGCTGAGAATCGAACCCAGGGCCTCACACATACTAGGCAAGCACTCTACCACTGAGCCACAACTCCAGCCCCCACAATACCTTTATTTTAAACATTTATTTATTTATATGCGGTGCTGAGGATCAAACCCAGTGCTTCACACATGCTAGGCAAGCGCTCCACCACTGAACCACAACCCCAGCCTCTCATTTATTTATTTTTATGTGGTGCTAAGGATCAAATCCAGTGCCTCACATGTGCTAGGCAAGGGCTTTACCACTGAGCTATAGCTCCAGCCCCTCTTTCTCATTATATGAACTTGTAACATACATTCTGGTGGCCCATCCAAGACCTTCTGAATTACAACATCCAGGAGAAAAATATCAGAACTTTTCTTTCTAATCATTGCCCTTGGGCATAATTAAGCAAGTTTGTAAAATGAGGACCTGCTCTGAAACTCATTCGGGAAGGTGATTCCAAACAGACTCCAGGGTTCACTCCACTTATTCTGATTTAGTGCATCTTGGATGGAAGAAGTTTTTCTAGAAGATGCCATATATACATATTTACATATATATGCATATTACATGTGTGCGTGAGTGTAAATTAGAGACAACTTGAACATAGATATTAAACCCCTTTGTGCTTCAGCCTCTGGCTTCTCTCACCATTCCCCCAAACTGTCCAAAACCAAGCTCTATGTCCTGTGTATGGCTCCTCATGTTCCCTGCTATCTCAACTGAGCAGCAGCACATAATGTTCCCTCCACCAAGTGGCCCTTTCCTGTACCCGTGACACATGAATGCCTACTGGTGCCTCAACTACAGCTCAGTTGAAGCTCCAAGTTTTCCCTGATCTCTCTGGGTTAAACATTTCCTCTCCTTCTCAAGACCTAGTCATTGCTGTCCCAAAGACTTTACTGTAATTAGGGATGCATCTGCTGGCAACCTGAGCCAGTGGAGCCCGGTGCAGGGGTATTTTAGTCTCCTTTATGTCCTCAACGTGCAATGCATTGACTGGCACTAGAGGAATAACTTGTTCATGGAGATCTTAGCACCTCCCCAACCCAAGGGCAAAAATTTGGCCAGGGTCTCTGGGGGAGGACCAAGTCCACAGGCAATTGGGGCTTGACCAAGGGGCTAAAACCTACCTCCAAATGGCAGCTCCAGTGTTGTGTACAGGAGGTGCTCTTGGATCCCTTAGCCTCCTTTGTAAACAAGTTTCTCTTAGTCCATATAGATGTATCCTGATGGTCTTTGAATAAATTCTTTCAGTGCTTAAGAAAATCAGATAGTCCAACTGATTCTATCTAGAAGCCATGTATAAATCTTTCCCCCACTTAAAATTAGAAAAATCCATTTCTCCACTAGCCCCTAAGTGTGCTCTGGAGAAGACCATCAGAAACCACAGCTGATATACTTGTCACCAAATCTGAAAATGTATCACAATGACCAAAGAAAAGCACAAGTCCTGTGAAACCAATGATTTAAGTGCCCTTAACCATTAAGGAGGCCTTCAATGCTTTGAATTTCAAGCATGTTGCCTTTGGGAGACTAGAAATCATGTTGACTTTTTAGGCTGGTTTGTTTGGCTGATTGGTTGGTTTTCAGTGCTGGGGATCAAACCCAGGCCTTACATGTGGTAGCCAAGTGCTCTGCCACTAAGTTACACCCCACGCTCAAGACAGGTCTTGTTCACCCTGTACCCAGAAAGCTGAGAAGAGTACTGGGGACAGAGCAGTACCTGCAAAACTGTTGAAGGGAGGGAGGGAGGGAGGGAGGGAGGGAGGAAGGAAGGAAGGAAGGAAGGAAGGAAGGCAGGCAGGCAGGCAGGCGGGCAGAGGAACAAAGTGCCTCTCTTCCTGTGGGAGCTGCCTGTGTGCCTCCCCCACACACCAGTAAGGCTAGGTCTACTCAGGAACCCCACTCCAGAGCACCTCGGTGACAGCATGTTCTCCTGCCCTCCTCACAGGCCTCTTGCAGGGCAAGGCAAACAAAGGTAAGCAAACAAGGACTGGGCCTTAATTTGGGTTTTCTAGTCTCTTGATCTTGTCCCCTACAACAGGATATCGAGAGGCCCAGACCCACCCCACGTCCCAGTCCACAGAAGGGAAGCCCCTGCCGAGTGTCAGTGATATGTTCTTTCCCATAAGAAGGCAGAGGGCCAAGTTAACCTCAAGGACTGTGAGGCCTAAGGGTCACTGACTATAGAAGGATCCAACAGCAATCATGTGGGCTTACTTATGAAGGAAGTACGGGATACACCCTTCTTTACCACCTCCCAGCTCACCATCCGAGTGAATATTTGAGACTGCAGTAGCAAACTAGCCTCACTGGCTTCCCTGCTATCCCATAGTCAGTCAATGGGCCTGTGAAAACCAGCCAGACCACATAGCTCTACTCAAAACCCTTCACTCCCATTTCCCTGATGCTGTGTGCACTGAAGAACTGCTCATACTCAGAAGTATGGCCTTTGTCCTTACCCTGAGGTAATCTCTAAGTCCCTAGAAGGTCCTGATAAGAGTTTGTCTGGGGACTTTAGCAATGTGGTGAAAGCTTTAAAGCACACAAATCTCCTTAAGAAACAAAGACTAAGTATTAGCCCAAAGTCCTGGGAGGGGCTGGAGATTACAGATCAGCCTCGCAGGCAGTATGTGATTAAGCTCCAAGGAAATACCAACAAAGGCTTCCTGCTTCCTTACTATACATTATGGCCAGGAGGTTTTGTCTCTGGGACTCCAGAGGACTGTGGTAAATCTCGCATCTGGACCCTTCCCAGATTCTGCTGCACGCATCTCAGCCTCTGACTGGATGTGAATCCTTTTATTGTAAAATTGAGTCTGAGACATTCTAATGTGTTACACACCTGAAGGTCATCATGGGGACCCCCCAGCATGCAGCTGGTGTCTGAAGTGAGGGCAGTCTTATAGGAACTGTACAGTTTGCCAAAATGCACCTTTTATGACCACCACACCATACCATGCCTTCACAATCTATCCACTTCTTTTTTTGGTACTGGGGATTGAACCCAGGGACACTTTCCCACTTAGCAATTTTTTTTTTTAAGAGAAAGAATTTTAATATTTATTTTTTAGTTTTTGGTGGACACAACATCTTTATTTTATGTGGTGCTGAGGATTGAACCCAGCGCCCTGCGCATGCCAGGCGAGTGTTACCGCTTGAGCCACATCCCCAGCCCCCACTAAGCAATTTTTGAGACAGTCTCAGTAAGTTGCTGAGGCCTTGAACTTGTGATACTCCTGCCTCAGCCTCCCAAGGCACTGCAGACCTTGTTTTTTACCCTTCTGCCTCATAAGCGTAAGTTATGTTCCTACTCCAGGGCACCAGAAAGCTCCTTCCCCAGATACTGCCAGATTAACCCCCTCCTTACAAGTCTTTTACTCCAAGGTCACCTCTTTGGTGAGGCCTCCTCTAGACCCCTCCACAAACTCCCTCTTCTCACAAACATCTCTCCTACTTTACTTCTTCTTCCTTGTACCATGACTATATCCACTATACATTTTATTCCTCTAATTTCTTCTCCATCTCCCCATGAGTTGGCCCCAGGGGCAGGAAGAGTTGGAGATTTACAGTGCTGGAGATCAAACCCAGGGCCTCATGCACACTAAGGATTTTTGTGCGTTGTTCCCCATTGTAACCACAACTTTTAACAGTTCCTGGCATGTCCTATGTTCAATATATTCTTGTTAAATAAATCATCTCAGGTACCCTTTAAAAGTACCTTTAAGAAACCAGGTGGTCCCCACCCTCACTTTCTCCCCGAAAGGCCAAGTCTACAAAAACAGGAAAACTGAGAACACTTAGCTGGAAACTTTTGCTGAGGGAGATATGAACCAGCAATACCCAAGATCTCTAGACTGAGTGGGGCATGGATATAGTCCCAGCAGTGACACATCCGTGCTGTTGACCTTGGAAAGCCCCATCTCTGGGCCCTGCACCCAGATAAAATAATAAAAGCTGGGACAGACACATGGAATTCTAGCTGAGATCACTGTGGGGCAGACTCGAGAGGGAAAGACATTTCTGCTGTGACAGAGGAACAAAGGGAAGACAGGACCTCACCAGGCAGGGATGACTTTTATTTGAAGGCAGAAGACACTCTACTTGAGAGTTCATTTGTAATCTGCAAAAAAGTTAAAAAAAAAAAAAAAAAGAAAAAGAAAAAACAGAACCCAAAGGGGCTGGTGAGGGAACAAGGAGGGTACTGGGTCCTAGATAGGTGGGGTCAGGCCACATAGGGGAAGCGTAACAGCAGCCCCTCATGAGGATCCAGGTTCAGGTTTTCCAGCTCCAGGGAGGCCCCTTCCTCACGGCCTGACTGAGTACTGAGTAGTAAATCAGCCTTGCCTGGCAGGCTGGGGATACTAGGCAGGTCGGAGGCCCCTAGCCTGGCTGTCAGGCCCATGTCTCCAAAGTTGAGCACCACCAGGAAACGCTCATTCTGGTCCCAGTGGCGGATGTAGGAGAAGAGGCCAGAACTGGAGGGGAGCGGATGGAAGTCCCCATGCAGCAGGGAGCGCTCTTTACCACGCTGGTCACTCAGGCGCCGGAACAGGGATAGGAGGGAGCCAGGGTCGTCATCCTGGCCCTGAGAATGATGAAAACACAGAAAGAGGGGATGAGGGGTCTCCCAAGAGCAGACTTCGACAAGCTACCTGCCCATCCTCTGCTGGTCAGACCCCACCCATCAAAACTTCTTACCTTCACTGTCATGTTGATGCTTACAGACCCTGAATGGGGTAGGCTGGATTCATTCCACAACATGACAGGGGCTTTCACGGGCTACAAAGCAAAGAGAACAGGGCTGTAAGAAGACCAACTCCCCTCTCACTCCTCTCCTTCCCACTCTCATCAATGCACAGCCCTACCCACCAAGGTGTGGTTAACTTCTACTGGACAGACGAGGCTAACTCCGACCTCAAGGTCCTCACACAAACACTGTCCCCTCAGCCTAATGGACTTCCAGACAGCCACAGACCAACTCCCTCACTTCCCTCAAGTCTGCTCAATTATCTCACCAGGTTTTCTGTGATCCCTTTATATAAAATATGCCTCATTCCTACACCCTAGGCCCATTACCCTGCTCTCTTTTTCACAGCACTTATCAGCAGCTGGTGTCTTTATTTTATTTGCTTATTACCCAATTTCACCACCTCCAGTATTTCCATGTGCTATTGTTATCCCCAGTGTATAGCATGCAAGAATTATTCAGTAAGATCTGTGGATTAAGTGAATGACGGTTCTACAAATATCAGTTCAGCACCAACTCTAACGAATGGCTAAAACTAGTGAATGCCTTGATGGCAGTATCCCAACACAACACTCACCACCATGTATACCTCTGCTTACTGATCTGGTTCCCTCACTCAACTGTAGACTGCTAGAGGACTCAGAACCTAGTCTGAGAACTCACCATCCAATGAATGAATGAATGATGGCTACACATTGAACACCTACCAAGTACCAGGCACTGCCATTAAAAAGAGCCCTTGGAGGGCTGGGATTGTGGCTCAGTGGTAGAGTACTTGCCTAGCACATGGGAGCCACTGGGTTCAATACCCAGCACCACATAAGATTAAATAAAAAATAAATGTATTGTGTCCACCTACAAGTTAGAAAATTATTAAAAAAAAAAAAAAAAAAGAGCCCTTGGAGCCTGGTGCAGTAGCACACGACTGTAATCCTAGTGGCTTGGAAGGCTGAGGCAGGAGAATTGCGAGTTCAAAGCCAGCCTCAGCAACAGTGAGGTACCCTTGGAGCCAGGTACAGTGGTACCTCCCAGCAATTTGGGAGGCTAAGAGTTTAAAGCCAGCCCCAACAAGTTAAAGTTAGCAAGCCCCTAGGCAACTTGGTGAGACACCTTCTCAAAATGAAAAGGTCTGGAATGTAGTTCAGTGCAAAGTACTCCCCAGGTTCAATCCCCAGTACCAAAGAAAAAAAGCCCTTGGGAGATGAGATATTGCTTAGAACACTTGCCTAGCAAGCACAAGATCCCAGGTTCAACTCCCCAGCAAAAATTAAAAATAAAACCATTCATCCATTCACTCATTAATAGACCCTTGGAGGAGCAAGGTGGTACACAGATATAGTCCCAGCTACTAAATAAGTTCATTTTTGGTGTTTTTTGTTTTGTTTTTGCAGTGCTGACAATCAAACCCAGGACCTTGAGAACGCTGGCCAAGTGCTCTACCACTAAGCTACACTCCCAATCCCTACTAAGGAAACTGAGGCAGGAGGACTACTAAGCCTGTGAGCAACATAACAAGAGCCCATCTCATTAAAGAAAAGAAAAAACTCATTTAATTCCAGCCACTCTAGAAGGAATGCAGTATCACAGAAAAGATAACCAACATCCCTAAGGGTAAAATAATACCCAATGGGGGCTGGGGATATAGCTCAGTCAGTAGAGTGCTTGCCTTGAATACACAAGGCCCTGGGTTCAATCCCCAGCACCACCAAAATAATAATAATAATAATAATAATAATAATACCCAAGGATGGTATGTATCTGCCACTATCCACAAAAGCCACATGACATGATGAATGAACAAGACCTCTTCTACTGTGCCAGGCAGAGAGCAAGGGGTACCTGTCCAGGAAGGGCCGCTGCCTGCAGGCCAATCTCATCCCCATAGCTGAAAACAGGAGTCCCTGGCAGAGTGAAGAGCAGCAGGTGGTAGAGTCGGAGGAGCTGAGTCGGCACGAAGGAAGTCAAAAGCCCTGCCTGAGACAACTGCAGGGACAGGTACACCAGTGAGCCCCAGAGCCTGCTTCGACCTCCACCTCCCAACCAACCTTTCCTCCCTCCCAAAGGACCTGTCATGTATAGGTCATGCCGGCTAGTATAGTACTCACACTCCAGCTACACCAGCGGTTGTCAGTGGCATTCAAATATTGGGTGATGAGGAATTTTACATGCTCCCCACTGGAACTGGGTCTTGACAGGTATGAGTTGGTTAACAGCAGATCCTTAGCATTCTCAAGGAGGCTCAGGATCTGCTGCAGGTTGGAAGAGTCTGTCCCTGCAATCAAGAGCCTGCAAGGGATGGGGGAGGGGGGGTCAAGGTTGGTACAGAACAGAGGAGTAAAGAGAGTTCTCTGAATTAGGAACCCCCTTCTTGAGGCCTCATACTCCACTGAGTCAGGAAGGGGTTGGCACCCACCTATCTTCACTGAAGTTCTTGGTGATGTTTTGCCACTCAGCCAATAAGGATACATTCTAGAAAGAAAACACAGAATCAACGAAAAAGGAACATAACCTGACCCTGGTTGGGACCCTCTGTTCTCACCCCAGCTTTGCTCCTGACATGGAAAGTGCACTCACTGTCAGATTTTCCACATTCTGAACTTGGAATCCATCCACATCAGCCTCCAGCCAAAACCTCAGAGCTGCCTACAGGGGGCAAATGAACATAGGAAAAATTATACAGCAAAGCTCTGAAAATCCCAGCCCACACCAACTCTCATCCACAATGGACTTCTCTATAATACCTCAGGCAGTAGTTGGCCTTGCCTGGGTCTCTCTCCCAACTCTATTGCAAAGGGTCTTTCTTGGTCCTCTCTCTCTTATGTCCCATTCCCCAACCCCATACTGGGGATTGAACCCAAGGGTGCTTTACCGCTGAGCAACATCCCCAGCCCCTTTTATTTCTGAGATAGGATCTTACTAAGTTGCTTAGGGTTTCACTAACTTTCGCTGGCCTGAAAACTGCAATCCTCCTGAGTCACTGGAATTATAGGCACGCCACACCATGCCCAGAGGTCCCTTCTATCTCTAACATTCCATTGATTGTCTTACTTTTACAGCATTTTGCCTTTTTTTTTTCTTTTTTAGGATTTTATGTCTCCATTCCTGCCTCTGGCAAATACACCGCTTTACCTTTAATAGCTATGAAAAAGACTGAAAATCTATCCATAAACATAGCTCCTTTTAATATTTAACATGTGAAATACTAGCATCCTCTATTTTGGGGATGAAGAAACAGGCTAAGAGAAAGAAGACATGTCAAAGATCATAATCAGGAAGCAGCAGAGACAGGACCTAAAATGCCTGTGAAGACCCCAAGGCAAATATACTTACTCCTCTCCCAGGTTCCTGGGGCCTGAAGGGGTGTGAGTACAAAAACTGGTCAGAGCAAGACCAAGAATGAAAGATCAGAATTCAAAGCACAGCCCCAGGGCAGTTGAGACTATTTGAAAAGAGGCCAGCTCTGCAGAACAGGCCCCAGCCTGAAGCTCTGGTATTCATCTGGCACAGGGTAGAACTCCACCCCCACCTCTTTTCTTCCCTTTCTCTGTTTAATGTGCTCTCCACTCTGGTCTCCATTTTAATCTGATATTACCCCTGGTACCCTACCATCTGAAAACAATCTATTACCAGTAACTTTTTTTTTTTTTTTTTATTCTGCCCATTCTGAGCCTGTGTCCCAGAACCCAAGCATTAGGAGCTGAGGTGATATTGAAAGCCCTACACCCAGCATGCTGGGTACTGAGTTTGATCCACTACCTTGAGAAAAGATAAATTAGAAGACTTCTCAGGACTTCAAATCTTAGACACCTCTACTCCTCAGCCTCCTCATTTACAGCTTAGGGAGAATATGTATTTTGTATAGTTATACAGGGAATTAGAAAACATCTACAAAATACTTGCACAGTCCCAGACTCTTAGGAAGACCCCATGCTTACAATTTCAGACTGGGCTCCACTCCAAACACATCAAACAAGAACTGGAAACCAGTCAGGACAGGATTCCCACAGAGAAAAGAAAGGACTTCCTATTCCAAAAGGATGAAAAATCAAACTTCCAGAATGACATCTGAGAAATTCCCTTCCTGGCACTGTCCCATCCCCAAAGTCAAGGAAACAAGAAAAATCAGTGGTCAGAAAAGAAACAGGGGGAAAAAAAAAAAAAAACAACAGGTGTACTATTGGCCTAACCTTCTGCCTACAGGTCAGAACAAGGAGACATGTACAGGGCTTACTGTGAAAGGACTAACACGGCCACAGCCCCTGCCTCCCACCAACCATAGCTCCAACACACTCACTGTCATCTTGGTGGCTACAATGTCAACCTGAGTGGGGAGGAACCACGGGTTCTGGCCCCGGTAGTTGGGAGTTAGGTCCAGAATGACTCGAATGCCTGGAATAATGAAAAAAGAGAAAGCTATGATAAAGTCTTTAGAGTAAGGGGACACAAGGAAGTGTTTCCTATATATTACTTGGTACAAAGGTTGGATCTGAACCCTGCCAATGCTCTAAAGCAAATTTGTACTTAGCAAAGTAGACTGATCTGTGGAGCCCCAGACTTTCCACCCAAAAAGAGAATTTTTTTTTTTTTTTTGATAGTAGGCATTGCACCCAGAGACACTTTACCACTGGGCTACATCTCAAGTCCTTTTTATTTTTTTATCTTGAGACAGACTCTCACTAAGTTGTTAAGGCTGGCCTCAACCTTGCAATCCTCGTCTCAACCTCCTGAGTCATAAACATATTTCTATAATAAATTTTAAGAGAGTATTTGCTACCCCCCCAAAAGGATCCAGTTTTATAAGTTTAAAAACTACTGATGAGCAGGTTATGGAGGTTCTGATTTAGTAAAATTTTGCCTTTTGCAAATAAGAGCACTAAAGCCCAGAAGTTAAATGACCTGCTGACGATTGCCCAGCCATGTAGAAAGATCTTGGGCCACTTGATAAATCCATTTTAGGCTGAACACTGATAGACCTCCCCTGTGCCTGGCCTAGAAAAACTCAGGAGAGCCAAACAAAAACCCTATCCTGCTTTCCTTGTGTCCAGAAGGTAAGCCCTTGGGAAACCCAGGGCACCCACTCTTTTTCTTGGCCAACTGAAGGAAACTGTCAAAATCTTCCTTGGAGCCGAGCGTGGGGTCGATCTGTTGCAAGTCGGTCCCAGCGACATCATCCTCCTGATTCTTGTGAATTGGGCCCAGCACAAGGCCCTTTACCTTCAGAGAGCTCAGGTAATCAAGATGCTGCTTCAGACCTGAAATGGGAGTGGGGAGAAGGGAAGCTGGGTTAAGGAGTGAGCCCCTGTCCTCCCGGTTCTCTCCTCCCAGGTCTAAGGCTGTATGGGGCTGGGGCGTAGGAGGGAGTAGATCACGGGGCACTGAGGAGCTGACGTAAGGAACCTTGCACATTGCTTCAGAAACCGGTTGCGACTGGCTCAGCCACCTCGTGGTGTGTGAAAGGGCGCGGAATGCTGAGTCAGCCGCCCTTGAGTCGAGTAGAGGCGGGTTGTTTTCTTCAAAGAAAAGAGGGAGCAGTCCTAGATGGGGGGCAGGGAGGGGGGGTGCCAGGGGCGGACGGGGTGGAGAACTGTCTTGAGTCCGTCTAGGGAAGGACAGGAGGAAGGGAGTCCAATGCAGGGGACCATTTGAAACCAGAGGTGCAACCGGATGGGGACTGGGAGGGTGTTTTGCACCGGAACTCACCTGTAAGGTTGCCCGCGTTGCTGCCCTGGAAGGCCTTAAGGTCACCGATGCGGTAGAGAGCGCCTTTGTGCCACCATCTCTGGACAGGCAGCTCACGACAGCGCGGCGCCTGCACGATGATGATCACGGCGCCCGCCAGCATGCCGAGCCAGCCGAGCCAGAAGAGCAGTAGCAGCGCCCAGCGGGTGCGAACCCAGCCAGGGCTGCCCGCCACTTTCAACAGCTCCTCCTTGGAAAGGCCCGTGAACTTGGCTGCGGCCTCTGCCTCTGCGTCGTCTTCGGCCACCTTGATCTTCACCAGACCATTCTTCTCCCCACCGCCTGCCACGGCCACAGCTGCCCCCGACGCCGCGTTCATGGGTTGCTTCTCGGGTTCTAGCTCATTCAGCTCCACCTCCTTCAAGTCTACCTCGGTATCGTGGCTCATGGTGCCTGCGGAACGGGGACACAAGGCAGCCTGCGGTCAGGTTCACCCAGACAGGGCCCTGTGTGGCTCAGCGTAGCTTCCTCTCGGGCCTCTGGAAAGCTGAGGGCGCGGCGTCTGGGAAGTGGCATGGCAGCCCCGCCCCGGCCCGCCCAGGCCCGCCCCTTAAAGTGCAACCCCAGAGACTGCTCTTTCTGGGACGTCCCGAGTGAGCTGTGCAAGGCAATCCTGCTAGAACATGCCTCTGACTGCTACAAGGTCCAGTACCGCAGCTTGAACCTGTCTACCCCTAAAATTCCTTTAAACCAGACCCTCGGAAAACACGGCAGGGATCCACCTTTTTTTTTTTTTAATATTTATTTTTTAGTTTTCGGCGGACACAACATCTTTGTTTGTATGTGGTGCTGAGGATCCAACCGGGCAGCACGCACGCCAGGCAAGCGCGCTACTGCTTGAGCCACATCCCCAGCCACAGGGATCCACCTTTATGAGAATGGCCTGCCCGAGGTCCCCATTTGCCTGCTCCGGTGGGCTGGTAGTTTCCCTGGATGGTACCATCTGTTTACCCCTACAGGCCAATTTTGCATGTCCACTTGCACTCAGAGCCTGCCAGACTCAACTTCTGCTTTTGTCCCACCCAGCCTTTCCTCTCAAGCTTCCAGACCTAGCTCTAGACCGTCAGGGTTTATTCTCCTGAAGACTCATCTTGACTTTATTTCAATTAATTCTTCATAGAGCAACTATTCACTGAGCACCTACTAGTCCTCTGCTTCATTAACTTTACTGACTTACCTAACCCATTTTTCTCCATGACTTGAGATGAATCTGAGTTGGGGATGCAACTCAGTGATAGAAGGCTTGCCTAGTATGCATAAGGCCCTGGGTTCAATCCTCAGCACCAAAGGGGGTAAAAATCTATTTGAGAAAGAAAGTTGAAATGAACAGCCCTCTTCTTACCCTAACCCACCCCAGTTATTGGGCAGCCAGGAATCAAACATCCAGAAGAGACCGATGAGCTATACAAAATGTTACAGAGCTGGGTCTCAGGCATTGAGGCATCCACCCCTTTCCCAGAACAGGCTCTTCTCCACCTTGCAGGGTCTCCCAGACTCCCCCAGTATGTCTGGTTTTCCCTGTTCCCTAACATTTCACTACCCTAGGCCTGAGAGGCAGCAGATTCTTCAGGATGGAACCTAGGGCCTTGCACACACACTAGGCAAGTGCTCTACCACTGAGCTACATCCCCAGCCCTTGTCTAAATTTTTATTTTAAAGCTGGGCATGTTGGCACACAACTGTAATCCCAGCAATCCAGGAAGCTGAGACAGGAGAACACCATATTCATGGCCAGCCTCAGCAATTCAGTGAGGCCCTAAGCAACTTGGTGAGACTCTGTCTCAAAATGTGGTAAAGTGCCCCAAACTTCAATCTCTAATACAAAACAAAAACACAACAAAAAATAAATAAATTTTATTTTACTTTGACACAAGATCTCACTAAATTCCCCAGGCTAGCCTTGAACTTGCAATCTTCCTGTAGCTGGGATTACAGGCCTGTACCACCACACCCAGTTTCTGCAAGGGTCTTTTTTTTTTTTTTTTTTGTAGTGGGGATTGAACCCAGGGTGCTTTGCCACTGAGCCATCCCTATCCCTTTTTATTTTTTAGAGACAAGGTCTCACTAAGTTGCTTAGGGCCTTCCTAAATTGCTGAGGCTGGCCTTGAATTTACAACCCTCCTGCCTCAGCCTCCCAAGTCGAGTGGAGTTACTAGAATTTCAGGCATACGCCACTGGGCCCAGCTCTTCAGGAGCTTTTGAAGACCTGAATTCCCTCCACAGAGATCCTTGGATAGAGAAAGGTTCAGTGGGGCAGAGACAAGATTCAAAGCAGGGACAACTACACATCAACACCAGGAGGTGCCAACACTCTCAGGAACTACTTGTTCTTGTCCTGAACCAGCTGGGTTATTTTGAGAGAAGAGCTGAAACAAATAGGTTCTTTCTTCCTTTCTCACCTAGACTGGAAGCCAGGATTTGAAATAAAGCAGAAGCCAAGATTTGAAGTAGAGCAGAGAAAAAGAGGTGTGGAAAGGCTTGTCCTTAGCCATTGCCCCTCTGTATCCCAAAGGATATTTTCCTATCCCCACCAAGAAAAGCTGAAATCAGCAACTAGGGGAAGGCAGGCAAATGGGTTAGAGGTTGGGATTCATAGCAGTGCTCAAAGATGATAAAAGGCCCAAGGTACCCTGGGCATGCTAGATAAGAAGTACCATCCAATAGTTCCAAGCAAGAAAGCTCAAGGTTGAGAGGACTGTGAGGTCAGAAGCTCTTGTTGAGATGGTTCACCATAATACCCCCTAGATACAGTACCTTACAGCCCCCAATGGCTCCAGATGGCTGAAGCCAATTCCTTCTCCATGCCTTAAAGAAGCCAACAATTTACCCCAGTCTTCTCACCCACCACACCTTCCACAGGCACTCCCCCACAGCCACATCAGCTTTCAAACATCTGCCAGTCTCGCAACACACCAGACTTTTTCAGGCCTCTGCATCTTGTACATGCCAATCTCTCTGCTGTTTGGTCCTTCCTGTTCTGCAGCTCGAAAGCTCCTATATATTCAAGGCCTGGCTCAACTGACAGCTTTTCTCAACTCTACAGACAAAATTCCTTTCCCACCATGGTGCATCTACCTCTGCTACACTTCATGCCCCATTTGTTTATTATATTTCCTTTCGGAATGTCTGTTTGCCCTGGAAGGCAAATGGCAAGGGCCTTGTGGTATTTGTCAAAGAACTAGTCTGCTCAGAAATAGCATATAGTAGACTCTTCCTAATTGTTTGGTAAATGAGTGGATGAACTGTATTAATTAAACTCACATATTTCCCTTCTTAAACAACTGAACTAAAGTAGCATGTGAAGGTAAAGGATAGAAATAAAAAGCAATTTAAACAACACTGTATTGTTCTAAGATGAAACTTGTTTATGTTATGAGACTTGTTAACTGTTCAACCAAAATAAAACCAGGAGAGGGAGGTCAGAAAAACAAAAGGAAGAGTTCGAAGCCCAGCACAGTAGCACACGCCTCCAGTGACTCTGGAGTCTTGAGTTTGAGGACAGCCTCAGCAACTGAGCAAAACCCTGCTCAAAATAAAAACACAAAGGACTAGGGATGTAGCTCAATGGAAAACACCCCTGGGTTCCATTCCAATACCACAAATAATGATAACAACAACAACAACATTAATAGAACTTAATATTTACTTAATATTTACAAAATATATAATTTATCAATAAGAATTTAGCCTTCCAGCCAGGGACCAGCTTACCTGCCTATAATCCTAGCAACACTGGAAGCTGAGGCAAGTTCAGGGCCAGCCTCCCCAATTTAGCAAGACCCTGACTCAAAATAAAACATAAAAAGGGCTGGAGATACATCTCATTGGTAGAGTGATGCTGCATCCAAAAAAGAACTAACATGAATTTACTAATAGGAGGATATAAAACTTGCTTGGTGGGATCAGATAAAGGGGAATGAAGGGAAGGGAGGTGGGATAGGAATAAGAAAGATAGTAGAATGAACTTTCCTATTTCATACATGTAAAAACTGTGATAGAACAGAATGGAATCTTCAGAGTTTAAGAGCTGGCAGGCTATGGCTTTGCACGCGACACACTACTGTGTGTCTGCTTACTGTCATTTAACCATAGAGGCTTACTGTGGCTAACAGGTACCTGTAAAAGATAATCACAGTAGCAGAAGCAGGAAACAAAGCAACAGGGACAGAACAATCCCCCTTTAGGCTCAGCACAGTAAGTCCCTAAGCTGTATGCTCTAAGAGTCCCTAGGTTGTTGACAAGCTTGTACCCATATAAGAAATGTAGAATGCCCCCTCCCATAGAATTGCACCAACTCCCTTGCCTTTATGTACCCAAAACTTGCTTATGTATAAAAGTAAAATCCTTGCTATGCTCAGAGATCAGACTTTGGAAATTATCCCTCGGGCCCTGGCACTACTAATAAAGTGTTGTTCCACATCTCAGGTGTCCTGATCCTCATTTCCCACTATAACACCACCAGTGAAATGCCACATCATGTACAACCATGAGAATGGGATCCTAATTAGAATAAGTTATATTCCATGTACATATAATATGTCAAAATATGCTCTACTATCATATATATCTAAAAAGAATAAGAAAAATTTTTAAAATAAAAATTAAATAAAAACTTGCTTGCTAAAGATTTACAAGATAATTAGAAAGCAAAATATCCGAATCAATAATGACTAGAAGCCAGGGTTGGTGATGCACACCTGTAATACCAGTGACTTGGGAGGCTGAGGCAGGAGCATTGTAAGTTTGAGGCCAGCCTCGGTAACTTAGTGAGACTGTGTCTCAAAATAAAAATAAAAAGGGTTAGGGATGTGGCTCAGTGGTAAAGTGCCCCTTGGTTCAATCCCCAATACCAAAAAAAAAAAAAGGAGAGAAGAAAGGAAATAATAATTAGGAAGTAAAAGAGAGGTATAGACATAGAAAACTAGATAATCCCTAGGCAAGATAAACCTGCTATTTAACACCAGGATACTTTTTTTGGGGGTACTGAGGATGGACCCAGGGACGCTCTACCATGAGCTACATCCCCAGTTCCCCCCCCCCATTTTTTTGAGATGGGTCTCACTAAGTTGCTAAGGCTGGCCTCAAACTTGCAATCCTCCTGTCTTGGCCTCCCAAGTTGCCATGAGTACAGGTGTGCGCCACCACACCCAGCCAGGATATTTTTCTTAAAGAAGTCAAAAGTAGAGACTAAATTTTATTAAAAACTGCTATACTAGTTGTATAAAATAAATCTGAGGGCTGGGGATGTGGCTCAAGCAGTAGCGCGCTCGCCTGGCATGCGTGGGGCGCTGGGTTAGATCCTCAACACCACATAAAAATAAAATAAAGATATTGTGTCCACCTAAAATTAAAAAATAAATATTTAAAATAAAATAAACCTGAATAAGACACTTCATTAATACACAGTTTTCTCACTGTAAAATGAGGACGGGCATAATAATATCAGCAGGGTCTATCATGAAAAAGCACTTAATAAATATCAATGTTTTAATATTCAAATTCCTCATTGTGGCTTAGATATGAGATGTCCCCTAAAAGCTCATGTGTGAGGGGGCTGGGGTTGTGGCTCAGTGGTAGAATGCTTGCCTAACAGGTGTGAGGCACTGAGTTCAATCCTCAACACCACATAAAAAAATCAATAAACAAAATAAAGGTATTGTATCCATCTACAATTTTTAAAAAAGCTCATGTATGAGACAATGCAAAATGTTCAGAGATGAAATGATTAGATTATGAGAGCTATAACCTGATCAGTGGATTAATCCACTGTTATGGAGAAACTGGGTGGTAACTGTAGGCAGGCAGGATGTGGCTGGAAGAGAAAAATCACTGGGGCATGCCTTTAGGGTTCATATTTTGTCCTTGGTAAGCAGAGCCTTCTCTCTGCTTCTTAGTTACCACATCCTGAATGCTTTCCTTCACCACACCCTTCCAACGTGATGATCTGCCTCACCTTGAGCCCAGAGCTATGGAGTCAGCCAAACTCCTGAAACCTTGAGCCAAAATAAACTTTGTCACTTTTTAAGTTGTTCTTGTCAAGTCTTTTACTCAAAGAGGAGAAAAACTCACTAAAACTCTCCAATTTTTTTACCTCACTATTTTTTTCAAATGAGAAAAAACACAAGAATGGGATCCTAAATAGAATAAGTATTTCTCAAATGAGGAAAAAACAAGTACATTTATATATACACATGGCCTCTATATTCTGCTCATACAACATCCTCTTTATTTAAAGAAAAAAAAGTTCAAATTCAACTATCCCATGGAAAATGAAACTTGCATTATTTCCACCAAACTTCAATGTCTCCTTGACAAATATAAGTAAAATTTCCTATCTTATTTAAAAACTTTTAAGCATGAAAAACAATAACAACAAAAAATTCCTAAGCACAAGTAGTAATTTCACCTACAAATCAATAAGCAGTTCTCTGGTCCCTCTGCCTGGAACACTTTACCCATTCAGCTCTCTCCTCCATCTCCTTTAGAGTTCTGCACAAATGTCACCCCACCAGAAAGACCATGAGTGAAATAATTCCGCCCATTCCTCAATGCTCCCTCTCATCTTCCCTGCCAGGACCAGATTAGTACCACTGCACTGATTTCCCCTGGACATTTTATTTATTTCTCTTTGTTTATCCATTGTAAGCTCCAAGTGAGCACAAGACAGTTTGCTTTGTTCCCTGTATTCCTATGCCTAGTAAGTGTTCAACAAATTAATATTGGTACAATAATGGTTGAATGAAAGGCACCTGTGATCTCAAAGTGCTAAGAACATTGTTTTGGGGGGCTCTGTTTCTTTCGTTCTTATCCCCTTCAATCCTTCTATAGCTTCCAAAAGAGCATCCACTTTTTGGAAATGCCCCCTTTCCAATGGATTCCATGTCTTATACAGAGGGTGCACACTCATAATGATGAGCCATCTGTGAGCCAAAGGCACATTTTCATTAGCTCACAGGATGTGCTTAAAATTTTAAAGTTAGGGTTGGGGCCATAGCTCAGTTGGTAGAGTGCTTGACTAGCATGTGCAAGGCCCTGGGTTTAAACCCCAGAACTACAAATAAAAAATTAAAAAATCAAGTCAGATTTCAACTTAGATGTCAACTTTTTTTTTTCTTTTTTTAAGATGTCAACATTTTCAAATGAATAAATTAATACAGAACTCTGGATTCTCTTCTCTTGAAAACTCTAACCATACAATCACACGGGAAAAATATTCCAACAAGGCAACAATCAGCTGGAGCTGAATCAAAGCTACCCAGTTTCTATCACTTATTTGCAAAACTTGCCTGATTTCTGTAGGTACACAAGTTGGAGACCCCTGACTTAAATCCCCTACCCTATATTTCCACTGCCAATTCACTTATTGGTGTAGAATCCAGTTACCTCTTGCTTAAACTACTGTGACAATCAAATTAATGTCTTTCTCTCCCTCTTATTTCCTAATTTTTCCTCAACCCCTGCTCAACTTTTACTAGCTTCTTTCTCACTACCTACAATCCCAGTGATTTAGATATTCTTTTTTTCTCTTTTTGGTACTGAGGTTCAAACCCAGGGGTGCTCTACCAATGAGCCCCCTTTTTATTTTTTATTCTGAAACATGGTCTAAGTAAGTTGCTTAGGGCCTCGCTAAATTGCTGAGGCTGACCTCAAACTGGCCTCCTTCCTCAGTCTCCAGTTGCTGGGATTACAAGCATGAGCCATCATGCCTGGCTCCCCTGCCGGCCTTTCCTTGGAAATCTTTCCCAGTTTTATATTCTATCATTCCCCTTTAACCTAACTTTCATGAATTTTATTGATACACTTCTTTGCTGGCACCAAATCTGTGCTCAAATTGTTTTAACTAGGAATTCCCTCCCTCCAGTCTGTTTATCTATCCTTCCAGGATAGAGAAGGATAGATAATACTCTATAAAGCATTTCCCCAATTTTCATTCCTACATTCAACCTCCCCAGTACTATCTGCCTACTCTGGACCTTCATTTTTCAGCTTATCTTTTCTGTTTTTTATACATTTTGTTACAACTTTTCAATGTGAATTTAGGGTCTTTATATGCACATCTTAAAGCCCTCCCAACCAGACCAAAATCTCTTAAAGCAGAGTGTCTTTTTCTCTTCCCCCATATGTTGTATCATGCACAAAATAAGAACTTATTAGTTATTGAATAAATTGATTCACACCAGTCTATAACTTAACTCAAATTGGAATTCTTTCAGGGGCTGGGATTGTGGCTCGGCAGTAGAACGCTCGCCTAGCATGGGCGGGACCCGGGTTCGATCCTCAGCACCACATAAAAATAAAGGCATTGTGTTGTGTCCATCTACACCTAAAAAACAATTTTTTTTTTTAAAGTGCTTTTTAGGTTAGGCAGGGTGACAAAAAAGATTAAGAAACAGCGCCCAAGGATTATTCCATTGTTTCCTGTGTCACTGCCTGCTCCCCAACTTTCTTCAGATGTCAGAAGCAGACTCTGAAATCATACTGACTGTATTTTTAACATGGTTTTGGTATTACTTAGCAAAGTAACACTAGAGTTACTTAACCTCTCTAGGCCTCAGGCTCCTCATCTATAACATTACCTTCACAGCTTCCTCCCAAGGTAGCAGTATTAAGTGAAGTCATGCAGAAGAGTACCTAGTAAGCTTAACGCACGCTCGTACATGGGTGTCTATGAATGCCGGTTGATCTCAGTAACAATACCCTTTAGTTGATTGCAACCCAGAAAATCAGGAGGAAATTGTAAGCAGTTCCTCGGGCCCTTTATACCTAAGGTCATTCATCTATAAAACAGGAATTATAGAGGATTAAATTAATCAACTCATACTGCATGCTTAAAATCGTGCTCCAGGGTCGGGTGCAAAGGCGCACTCCTGTGATCCCGCTGAGGCGGGGGGATCCAGAGTTCGAAGCCAGCCCCAGCAATTTAGTGAGGCCCTAAGCAACTCCGCAAGACCCTGTCTCTAACTAAAATACAAAACAGGGCTGGGGATGTGACTCAGTGGTTGAGTGACCCTGAATTCAATCCCCGGTGCCTCAAAAGAATCGTGTTTCAGGCTAGGTTGTGTACCTCGATGGTAGATCCCTTTGCCTAACATGCATAATACCCTGAGTTCGATCCCGGGCACCGATGAGAAAGGAACCCCGGATGTCAGTCTTATTATTACAGGCCAGGCTCCTAGCAAAATAGGATCAGACAGAAGGATGGCCAGTCAGGACAAATCAGACACTGTCTTCAGAATTAAGTGGAGTACTTACACCCTGACTTACTTTCCCCATATGGGACTTCCACTAGAGGTCAGCACGGGGCCCAGTACCTGAGTCGCCCCCCGCGTTGTAACCCTGGACATCAGCCCCTGAATGGGCGCTGGGAGGCTGGCGCGGAATGGAGAGGTCGCCGGTCGAGGGCTCATGAGGTTCAGAATCCATGGAGGCGGGTCTGCACACAGGTGTAACGTGTGGGGATGTTAAGAGGGAAATCAGGGCAGGGTGCAGGGGTAGGCCTAGCGGTGACCGGAACAATTAGCCCAGGATCCGCCCCAAGCAGGGATCTTCAGAATTGCGGCCACATCCGCAGTAAAGCCAGAGCCGCCAAGCCGCAAACCGCTCGGCGCGCCTGCGCACTCCCATGGGGCGCATGCGCTTCTTTTTCGCGCCTCAAGTTCTGTGACCGAGCGTTCGACACCCGCCCTTCCCTAGAATTCTCAACCCACAATTCCTCAAGGTTGTGGTGGCGTCCCATATGCGCGTGCGCTCGCTTTGTGCCCGCCCCCAATCCCGTGGGCCTTTGCGTGAAAGTATTTAAGCGTCTCGCGTTGTTGTAATCGGTCTCATTTTTCCTTCCACGCTCCGGTGAGTACTTGGGTTGGTGGGTTTCTGGGTTCTGTCTTACATTATTTTGCGGCACGGGAAATGGGGCTCAGCGGTATTTTACCAATTGAGCCACTCTTTTTGACTTTTGAGTCTTGTTAAGCTGCCTAACCTGATCTCGACCTATCGATCCTATTGTCGTTACCTCCGGAGTCGCTGCCATTATATCCGTTAGGTCGCGCGCTCCAGATCTCTGTTGTCTTACCTATCGGCGGGCTGGGAGGAAAGATCTCCTCCCGGACCTATTCAGTTACTTTTATTGGGGCTTTGTGAAGGACAAAATGGCGGTAGCGGGCCGAGCCAGGCGCCCTCCCAGTGATGAGGACATTTTCACAGACCTGTGCTGAATTCCGTGAGGATAAGTAACTCTGAGGAGACCGGCGCTGCACAGCTTGTGTCCCCTGCGGCCGTTGCTTGGTAGAAAGCATTTTTAAAATATCCTATACTAATCTAATGTTTTGTCTGCAGGGTTAAGGCGCACATTCGCCACACAACAATCGAAGACAGCCCTCTGGTTGGAGTAAGTGGTTTTGGCCATCTAGTTCTTGTTCTTTGGGCTGGAAGAACTATTGGATGTGCTACAGGGATGATTTATGATTTGAACTCTCTCTTTCTGATGGTTTAGTGGAGAAAATGTAAAAGTTCTGAGTAGCGCTACCCAGGAGTTTGTTTTGTTTTCCTTGGGTTTTAAGTTGAGGTGTTAGTGAAGGGTGTTCTATTTTCAGATGTGCTTCGGCTCAAAGATGTGTGGTGTTTGGAGAATGCACGGAGATCATTCCTGCAATTACAGCGATCCTCCATGTAGGTATATATGGCTTATGGAAAGGGAGTGTTTATGGATAACCACTCTATGATGAACATAAAATGACAAGCATATGACTGAGTTATAAGTGATGTCATCTTAATCCTGAGGAGTGGGCCAGGGGTTTAGAGTAGTTTTGAAGGTAATTCTTACAGGTACAAATAAATTTTTTTTTTTAAATCAGAGATCGAACCCAGGGGCACTTGACCAGTCCCATTTTTGTCTCCACATCTCGTGACCTATCCTGAGGAATTTGATTATCTCCAAGAGTGAATGCAGGTAATTCTTCAAATGGGATCTCTGATTATTTTATCGCAATTGTTCTCCACAAAAAGGAGGGCAGATGGTCAATGGAGCAGTGTTGTGTTGCCTTTTTGCTCCATCCACCTTATCCATCTTGTTCCTCTTGGAGCAATTTTCTGGGGGAGGGAAGACAGCAACCAATAGTCAATTGGTTCTTGTAATGATGTGTTCTTCTCTCATCCATATATCAACTGTCAGATGATTTGAATCAGTATGCTGATGATCTGTGAGGTACAATGGTAAATAGCATGTTAGAGTTCTGATGGCAGTTGTTGATAATGAAGAAAAATGTCGTTCCATCCTAATACTTTGAAATAACCACATGTTCCTCTTTCCCAGGGTTTCCTGATAACGACAAATTTTTCCATTTTATGGTAAGTTGCTTCTAATAGCTATTGTAAATTATGTAAATAAGAGAGCATATTATTGGGCTGGGGATGTGGCTCAAGCGGTAGCACACTCACCTGGCATGCGTGCGGCCCGGTTCAATCCTCAGCACCACATACAAAGAAAGATGTTGTGTCTGCCAAAAACTTGATGCATGCAATTAAAACTGAACTCCCGATTAGGAAAGAATGTCCCCACTTGAAATAAGGAATATTCGTGGAGTCATCCTACCCTCACTTATAGCTAAAAAGAATCCATTGACAAATTAACTTGGGCGGGGGGGGGGGGGGGGGGGGGGAAGAGGAGGAGGAGAGGGAGAGGGATAAAAAGAGCATATTATCATTTGTAGGGTGGCTTTACCATCATGGTATTGGTTAAAGACTACAGTGCCAGTAAGAACAAACATCTTGTCTTAACTCCCTGCTCTAGCCCCAGAACGAGTAATGGTGAACCCACTGGTGTAGCTGGGAGAGAGGAAGGAAACTTGGTTCCATGAGGAACTACATGAGGTCCAGCAAATGGCAATAAATAGCCTTTGCTTTGCTTTGCTTGTCATTAATAGTAGCTGGATATTTTGAGTACTTTGCTAATTTAGTGTTTTTTTCTGATTCATTCAGAAGCAACTCATTTCCATATACTGCTGAAAATACTCCAGCATTAGCAGGTTAGTAGGATTTTTTTTCCTAATTTATGGCTTATGCCATCAAGTTTCTATGATGACCCAAACTAGCTCACTATGATTGACAATGAAAATATATGAACACCTGAGAAACTGAAGGATATAGAATGGGGCAATATCCTGATATGCCACATATACATAGTATTTTACCTGTTTTTAAATTTTTCAGGTGCTGTTACCAATGTCTACTTACTGGTTCAAAGGTGAGTAATTTCAGTATGTGTTAAGTATATATAGCATATTGGGTAGGAAAAAGTGCCTTTTAGGCAAATATACATGATGACTTATGGAATCTCGTTCGGCTGATGTTTTGCTGTTGAGACTCGGAAATCTGATTTCCTAGAAATAATAGGTGGGGATAACTGAGGCAGGACATAAGCATTACTCATTTGATCTTGTTTGTTTCAGGTCTAGCATCTTGTCTGGATTCCAAGAATGATTTGAGGTACATACCTTTGCAATATTTATGCCTATCATGTAGCATCGACTTTATGGTGTGTGGTGGTACTTTGGTCTGAGTAGCCATATTTGGATCACCAGTGGTGAATTCCTGCTCACCAGTGATGAGTTGAATACCGCCCCAGTCTGATCATTGTGACAGAAAGGTACACTCTGAGTTGTGAGCTCATCTTAACAGTGATAAACTATAGCAATAAGAAGATGGATAGGCTTTATAGCCAATAACTTTCTAGGACTAGGTTTCTATGAAGTGTGCTTTTCCTTTAAGCAATAAAGAGATGACTTAATTCCTAATCTCTTTCCATTACAGAGAAAGCAAGTCATATCTGCCTAACTTCAACCTGAAGTTAAAGGTGAGTGGACTAAGGTGAAGGTAAAAGTACAGTAAGCTAAAAATTTCCCAATGAAGAAGCATTTCACACGTCTTACTTCCTGTCCTAGTCCCAGAGCCTGTAAAGGTGAACCCACTGGGGCTGGCTGGGGGAGAAGAGGAAAGCTTGTTCCAGAAGGAACTGTCTGAGGGATGATCAGAATTTCTGTAAATGGAAAATGGAAGAAGAATCAGTTTGAAATAAGTTGTCTTTTTTTTTTTCTTCCAGCCCCCAAGTCTGAGGAAAGACAAGATGAAGATAAATGGTAGGCTCATTTTCAATTTAGTTTGTAATAGAATAAATCCAGAGTACCTAGAATCAGCCCTTTAATGTTTGGTTTAAAACCTTGCCCCTTGTAAATTCAAAGGGTGTGTGCATTATGTACACTTTTGTTTTCCCATCCAATAAAGATTCATCTTTCCTCAGCAGGCATCCATCCAAGTCTTGGAGGACATCAGATTTCCAGATCTTTCCTTGTGCATCCTAGCTGTTCAAGTTAACACACAATCATTTTGATCTTCCTAATAAAGCTCTTTTTCTTAATCTGTGTGATTCATTGGTTTGGATGAGTCTCACTGGCAGTATGGGCCCATGTAATGTGGATTTTCTGCCTTGGTGAAGTGTTTGAGAAGCTTCATTTCTGTTCTTAACTACTACACTCTTTTCCAATCTCTGAATTTTAATTGGCCCTAAGATTCAATCCTGAGACATTTGAGTACTGAACTGCAGTCAGTTTTTTAATCAGGTACAATGCCTTTATTATTTGTTTTACATGGTACTGAGCTGAGAGCCTTCTGTGCTACATAAATGGTCTACCAACAGCTTTGGCCCCAGGCCATACATTCTGAGAAGGGATCCCCCTAAGTTTCCAGAGCTGGCTTTAAATGTTGTGGTCCTGCCCAGCCTTTCAAATTCTGGGACTATAAATGTGCACAACATGCTCTTGATAAAAAAAATTTTTTTTACGTGTCCAGGAGTGGTAGTGCATGGCTATAATCCCAGTGGTTTAATATTAGAGTGCTGCAGGATGGCAAGGTTGAGGCTAGCCTTGCCAACGTGCCCCATCTCAAAAACAAAGGCTGGCAATGTGGTTCAGTGGTAAAGCGCCCCTTTCCAGGACCAATGCAACACATTTAAGAGGAAGGGGTGTCTCATGGGTGCCAAGAGGTGATGAGCTACAGCAGTGATGATATTTGGTTCCCAGGACTGGTGGGGTTTGAGGGTGCATAGGATTGAACCTAGGATACTTTACCTCTGAGCTATAACCCCAACCATTTCAAGGCAGTTTACCATTCAGTTGCTTTAGGTAGGGCCTTACTAAATTGTTGTGACTGGCCTTGAACTTGCCACCTTCGTGAATCTCTGGGATGACTTTAAAGGCAACTTCGTTCCAGGAATGGTGGCATTCCTATAATCCCAATATCAGGAGAAGATTCACAAACTCAAGGCCTGCCTGAGCAAAATATTTAAAAAAGGTGGGACTACAGCTGAGTAAAGAGTTCAGTGGTGCGCACCTGTAATCCCAGTGACTCAGACTGGAACCAGGAGGAAAAATTTGAGGCCAGCCTCAAATTTAGCAAGATCCTGTCTCAAACAGTAAGGAAATGTTCAGTGTTGACTGGATCCACAGGTCAATTTACAAAGAGGTTAGGTGGTACCGTTAGTGAACAGTGCAAATGGTGGGAGTTAAAAAGAATAATTCTAAAAATGGGCCCATTATGCAGACCCCTATATGCTTTCTTTTCCAAGAAGCGATTTACTTCCAGCCCTTCCCAATTTAAGTGAACAGACTGTCATATTCTTCAACAAACTATCTGTTATCTGCAGGGGTAAAATGAGAAGAGGAACCCAGTTACACTGAAGTGGGAGATTTTTGTGACCCGGAGGTTGAGGCAGGAGGATCACAAGTTCAAAGCCAGCTTCAGCAACTTAGCAAGACAGAACCCTGTCTAAAAATAGAAAGGACTGGGAATGTGGTTTGGTGGTAAATTGCCCTTGGGTTCAATCACCAGTATAAAAAAAAAAAAATTAGAACCTATCAGCATGGGCCAAGTTGACCTACAGTTATCAAGGCAGTGGGGAATTGAAAGTCTGATACCATCCTACTGTCAGTCAAAACTCAAAGAGGTGGACCTGGGCAGGATTTGGAAACTTCTCTGGGATCCCCAATAAAGCGAGTACAGGAAAGATGTCACTCTATGAGAGGACCCATTCTCCCTTAAGAGGATCCTCTTTCCCTTTTCCTATCCCTTAAATAAATTCATTCATATTATTCTGAGCCACATGTCTGAAGTCTTTCTGATCTGATCACAAGAATTGGGGTTTGAAGGAGGTCTTCACGCTGTCTCAGTTTCTTGGAAGGCTCCAGCTCTGTAACAGCACCAAGGCTGAAATGACTTGCAAACAGGTGTGGAGCTTTTGCTTCAAACCAGCCAGTCTGCATTATTTCATCTCACTCTCCCACCAAAGTCTGCAAACACCTTCCAGAAGCATCCTTGGATAAAGGAAGAAACAACAAAGGGAAGATAAGCACTTGACTGCTGTCACAGTGAGAAAGGGAAGGGAGGAAGGCATGAGTTGCCAAAGCCTAGGCGTGTTAGCTGTAGGAGTTGGTCCAACCTGGCAAGTGTAGCAAGGAAGTGAGGGAACCAAAGCCAGAAGACTGGTGCAGGGCCCCCCAGGGGCCTTGTGACCAGTTCAGTAGGTAATGAAGCCTTCTGCAAACATTTTTTAACCACTTGATAAGTGAGGAATTAAAAATTAGGCCCAAATTAGCTAGGCTCACACCTGTAATCCCAGCGCCTCAGAGGCTGAGACAGGAGGATCATGAGTTCAAAGTCAGCCTCAATAACAGCGAGGCACTAAGCAACTCAGTGAGACCTCAGTGAGCCCCTCTCTCTAAATAAAATACAAAATAGGGATGTGGCTCAATGATCAAGTGCCCTTGAGTCCAATTCTCAGTAACCTAAATAAATAAAAGTTGGGTGTAGTGGCCTGTGCCTGTAGCCCCAGCTACTCGAGAGGCTGAGGCAGGAGAATCTCTTGAGCCCAGGAATTTGATACCAGCCTGGGCAAGAGAGTGAGTCCCTGTTGTTAGTTGTGAAGCAGGCTGAACAAATGTTTAGCTGCAGGGTGGGCTCACCTCACCAGTCTGGTTCCTTATGGCTTATTTGCCTCAAGGATGAGCACTCAACCCCACTCAAGGTCTAACACTCAATCCCCCACCGTTCTGGTGCCATGGGAAACCCACATCTGGCCCCTGCCCGGTCTCCCTGAGGGCAGAAGATGACACCCTTAGGAACTACTATATGATCCAATCAATGTAGGCCAACAAGTCAGCTTGCAGACCTAAAGACCACATTAAATTTTGGCTATAAAAACTCTCTCTGGGCTGGGGATGTGGCTCAAGCGATAGCGTGCTTGCCTGGCGTGGGTGCGGCCCGGGTTTGATCCTCAGCACCACATACAAACAAAGATGTTGTGTCCGCCGAAAACTAAAAAATAAATATTAAAATTCTCTCTCTCTCTCTCTCTCTCTCTCTCTCTC